GAGTGGATTTATTACATATAATTGAAAACGAACGAACGCGTTAACTCTGAGTATTTTCTAAAAGCAAATTTTCAAAAATAAATAATTTTTATAATTGAACCAATTTCCGTAGGACTTTAATGGTTTAGTATGTTCATTAACACCAAGTACTCTATCGTTATACCAAGTAAATCGTCTAATTTTAATTTTAACAAACCTCAAAAAAACTACTCATTTTCTCAAACTTCGATAAATTTTTAAAATTAAACTACTTGTCGTAAGACCGTAATATTATATTTTAGTAAGTTCTATAAGACCATGATATATATCGCCAAAAGAAGTTCCATAAAAATCGGTTTAAATTTTTTTCAACAGTTAATTACAAGAAAACAGCTCGGTAGATTTTCACCTAAAACTAATCAGTATCATTCCCAACTAATATCTTTCAAACAGTTTTTGATTTTGTAAAATAGATTCGGTAGTCTGAGCTTAAATGTAGATGAAAAGTTTAACGGTTTTTCCAAATTACAAAGAAACATGCTCATTAGATTCAGAATGGCTTGAAACGCCGAGAAAACATGAAATTAGCGAATCGGATTTTTTATGAAAACTTGAAAATGCGTTTTTTACTGTTTTTCTAATATTTGTTATCGGTCCCTTTTTACTCCATAAGCTGAAGAAAAATGAATTCTCAAATTCTACATTATGCAACCAGTGCAAAATATAAATTTCATGAGCACATTTTTATAAAGATAACACTGTATACGAGTATACACCTTGGTCAGATATTTTGCTAGAAATATTCATCAGCAGAGTTGGAATAACTAATAATTTAATTATTCTCTTTTAAAATTGTTTTTTTTTACCTTAATTTTTGTTTGTTTTCTAGTTACTTATACCTTTGTTTACACCTTTGGTCCTTTTTGCTCCATCACATGTAAGGTATTATAGAGATTACTACATTAAGGTCTCGTAGATTAAACAACAGTGCTCACAACCAAAAAAACTAACTATAAAAAAAATACTTTTGTCATGGATTTTTGAACATTGATGTTTATTTCCCGATAGCAACTTTGCTTGATTTAATCGCATTTTTTGCCCTCTACTTTCAAATATTGTTATCCAAAAGTTTAAAAATGGCTAACTTTACTTGTTCTTGAGATATTGGTGGTGGACCTTTTTACTTGTGAAACTTAAGCCCCGCTCTATCCTACACTTCAGAGGTATTTCAAATACAAAAGTTTTGTTTAATTAGAGTAATTGTTTTAACTAAAATTGATAATTAATCATTTTAGAGTGTCCTTATTACACCGTAATAATGAGAAACAATTATACATTATGAACTGAATTAATTAATTATAACAACAATGGTTTATTTAAACTTTAAACTTTCAATTACTGTCTACAACATTGTGCAGAATTAGAAATAAAAGTAATTAAAAGATGCGAGATTATCACGAATACAAAAGATTTTCAGTCTTTTCTATTACTTCTACGATATGACTTATTAAGAATAAGAATACTAATTCGTAATTTCTGTGACAAGAGTTAATTAATAACGTATTTTCTAATTGATGTCAAAAGTTTTTATAAATCTCATAACAATATGTAAATATTATTTAATTGCTGAAGTAATGATTTAATCGTTTGTATTTTTTTTCTTGATATATTATGCATATATATATATATATATATATATATATATATATATATATATATATATGTGTATACTATAAGCTGTTTTCAGTAATGCCTATTTATTGGTTTATTATTTTTACTTTAAAATTACTTTTAAACGCAATCAGACAGCAACCCAACGGTCGTTCTTTCCAATTGTGACGGCAACAATGCCCCTAAAAGCAATGTTAATACAATCACTAATATTTGCCTAAATTAAATAATATTTCGATTAAGGCAATTGTTCGGACGTATTTTCATTTTATTAGTATTATCATTTATGGCCATGAAGGTGACAAGCTTCATGGCATTGAGTTTTTACAAGGAATATTTAGGGTGTAGCGGAGAGTTTGATGGGACTAATTATACACTTCTAAAAGTAAAGTCCGCGAAACAACATGTATAATAACTAATAAATATACATATCTTCTTTCATTATAATTTAGTGACAAATCAGTGATTGTAATAAGAACTGCAACAAATGCATAAATTATACCAACAAATCAGTGTTTAATACAGTCCACAGCCACAAGGATTAAATAATAACCCAACAACCTGAGTTATTGAAGGAGAGTTTTAATAAATTTCATAACTACGTAACGCACATACAGCTATGCATAGTTTTTTTACCAGCCTTAAGGAAAATTGCTGGAACTTCCCGCACCTTAATTTAAAATATTTCAAACTTTTAAAAAATTCACCATTTTTGAAACATTTGAAATTTTTCAAAAAATTTAGAATCTTTCTGAAGATTTTGAATTTTTTTTTTTTTTTTAATTCGACTTCTTTGAAAATCTTGAAATTCCTTGAAAATTGGGAAACCCAATTCAAGTCAATCAAAAAAGTCGAAAATGTCAATGGCATTTGTTTGAACTATATAAGTGAACTTTAAGCTTTACAAATCTTGGTACCCATAGAAATGCTAATAAATATTGTTATGATCATTAAAATCTCAACAAAATGTCTGATAATTTGATGTGCATATCTGTAATGATCACTTTCAACAGCCAAATGGCATGTTTTTCTACATTTTTTCTGGGTCTCTGAAACTGCTGGACGTATCTTCAGAAAAATTTCTTCAATTTTCCATTTCGTCAATATAAGTAAATTGTTTTCTCAACAACTGAATTTATATTTTTGGTATTTTTTACCCCGCATCTTCGAAACAGCTGTAACTGTCTTTGTCAAAAACTGATGCATAGCCTATGCATGTCTTCTCAGTAATATGTTTGAACGAATGATTTTTGAACCAAAATTCAATATAATATTGAGTATTTATATAATTCAATGAATTCAAAAGCATCAACAAATAATTATTCAATTTTGCCATAGTGAGCAAATCCGATATAACTCTTTTCTTCGCCCAGCGTTCGCTCCTGTAATGATCAATGTATCATTTATATTCATCAAGTTATTTAATTAATATTTTATCGCTCACGTTTATGAAATACAATCAGATATCGCTTAATAAAAAATCACAACAGATCGCAACAATGTTCTGATCTATTGTGTCCAAATTGATAATATTGATCAGTGAAAGTGAAAATAATATAAAAAGGTTTTTAATAATAAAACATTATACTTTCACATACTTTCGATTGTATTATAACATTCGTTAAATTGCACGCACACGTAAATAAAAAAAAAACAGTGACTTTATTGTCACACTGATTCATTAAATTTATTGCATTTATAAAAGAGAGTGCTGCTGCCTTTTTAAAGTTTTTTAGTGCAATATTATATATAGAAGGTTGAATTTAACTTGTTAGAAATTCAATCAACTAATTGGACGATATCACTAAATTTTGCGATCGATTTTAATTATCCAAGATGCACCTTTAACATAAAAAATTCAAGAAAAAAATTGACAAAACCCAAATTACCTTTAGTTGTGATTGTACTATGTATTGTTAAATCAGAAAACCAAAAGACAAACTGTAAACAAACATTTGCTGCCCCCTTTTTATGCAAACTCACTCAGTGGGATCACACAAAAAAACAAGAAAAAATGGTAATTTTTGGTGCCCTCTTTCCTCATAAATTGGAATCTAATATCAAGCAGCAGTAATATTTGTTTTTACTTGAAAATTTAATCAAAAATACGTTTTGTTAAGAAAAGAACCCTTTAGAAAAGTTCTGTATAAAAGTTAAAAACAAACAAAGAAAAGGACAAATTTGTTCTTTTGGACAAGAAAACATCACAAGAAGAATAGGACAACCATTATTTCTCAATAGTCATTAGTCAAAATAATAATCACAACAGCTTGTAAAATAACAGTAATCTGATTACTGTACAAAAGCAAAAGGAAAAAGAATTTGTCTTGAAAGTACTAAAAATGTAATAGCAGCATGATATCAAATTTACACGAGGTTTTAGATCTCAAATAATGGATCAAAAAAAAAAAAGATTCGAAAACTTCACATTTTCGAAATATGGCAATGTATAAAATTTTAAAAAAACTTTTAAAATAAAGTATTTTTTGGCACTCAAACTGATATAAAATGAAACTGCGTTGTCCAGTTATAGTGAAATACATTTTTAGTAAAAATATCTGTGATGTTGATAATTTCAATAATGAAAATATGATTTGTCATTAAAAACTTAATTTCAAGTAGACTAATGACGTCTACAAACACAGTGTGAGTGTACACATTTTTCATATATTATTTACAACAATCAAGACGTCAAAGCTTTCTACAGATGATAACACAAATGGTTGTGGTATCTCTATTTATTATTATAATTTCTGTAATACTGATAATTTTTTATATTGATGCAGCAATGCCGGTTAAGGGCTACTTTCACTTTGAAACTTATTGGAATCTATATTTTCAAGTGAAAACCGATATTTATACTATATATAGTACAAATTGTTATCAATATTTACATTTTCTACAGTTTGTCTTTTGTAAGTTGGTTTTCTGATTCAACTATATATAGTACAATCACAACTACAGGTTATTTGGGGTTGTCATTTTTTTTCTTGAATTTTTGATGTTGAAAGTGCATCTTGAATAATTTAAATAAATGGCAAAATTATTGACAACATACTGTCCGAAGAGGGTATTGAAACTGGAAACTCTGATACCAAGTGAAACCTTAACCTTAACGTTGAGGGTTCTTAAGACTTAAGGTCATTTGGTATCAATAGTGGTTAAGGCTTAACCACTATGCAAGGGTAAAACCCAACGTGAAACTCGTTGTGCACTTGCAATGAAATATTTAATTTACAATAAAATAAATATATTTGATATCAATAATTAAGATGAAAAAACAATTCAGCATTAAAAATATAGTTTTCCAATTTTGTCAAATATATGAAAATAAGTAGTTTGATTCTTGTATATGAAGTTTCAACGGGCATATTTTCCTGCAAGCTAGAAAACAACGTAGGTTTTTTCGAAATTTCCAACGTTTAGAAAAAATCTTACTTTCACAGTGAATTCCGGATTGTATTCGGTGATTCATGGCATATGGACACGTACGTACGTGCAGCGGCAAAAAAGCAATTGATGGATAGTGAAAAATAATATGAGCGTTTTGAAACGATTAAATCTTTATTCTCATGAAAACAGAAAGCGACGGCGTGCCTCATCGTAAAACGATAATTTAGGATCGTTTTGTCGATTTTCTGACAGACGAACGTTTATCTTGCGCACCATCCTCTAAGCAAGTCATCGAGAGGCCCAACTGACCGGCGTAGTAAGTTGACATGATATAGGTCTGGAATAAGAACTCAAGTTTACTTACACTAGTAAATATACATATATTATATACGGAAGATATTTAAATATTATATATTTTTTATGACATTACTGAATTTTCTCAATTTGATTTCAATAACTATTTTCTTGCATAATCCTTTTCCTTTGTCTATGTAGTGTGACCATTTGATCGCCTGTACAACCATGTTTTTTTATTGCTATTTTATTAATTTAAATTTTTACGGTTTGAAATGAGTATAACTTTCAACCTTGTGCAAGAATTTTGAGCTCTACGCGTGGTCAAATAGACTTTAATATGATGAACTTGATGATGAACATTGTATTTAATGTTCGAATGCTTTTTTTCAGAAGCGAAATTCGTGCAGCTACTATGATTTTTATAAAATTACTATCCTTTTAATATTAATTATGAATAAGCTTGACAAGAGCCTGAAATAATATCTACTATTATTGATTGAATATATTCATAAGCAAGCCGTAATTTAAATTGGACCATTGTGCCCCGTCCTACCCTATAAATAAAATTATTATAAATACTATTACTATTATAAATAAATAAATAAATAAAATAAATAAATATTATATGTATAGGGTAGGACGGGGCACAAAGGTCCAATTTAAATTTGAGCAATATTATTGTGTAAACCAAAACAATTATATCAGAACAAATAACATAACATATTTAAGTATATGTAAAATCTAGCATATGTTTCGAGTCTAAGGGACCGATTTTGCCGCATAACAGACCAATGTTATGGCAAGTCTATGTTATGTAGAACTTTCCATACAAAATCGTTCTAAATATTGATAAAAACAATGTGGTTGCTTGCTGTGCAGTGAGGCGTCTTTCTCAGGTTGTCAGATAGAAAACCGAACTCAAAAACCGCACAAATTTAAAAAACGATCTTAGATAACAAGGTCTTTCTGACCCAGCTCCATAACATACGAGTTACGTTGCAGTTTATGTGCAAAACGCCCGAATGCACAGCAAATACGTGACATTTTGACAGTATTCAGTATGATTCAGTAGCAAAATGTATAGAAGTTGGAGCGTAACATGGTCTTGCTATAACATTGGTTTGTTATGTTATCGGACCCTAAATTTAAGGCATCTAATGTGCTATATATAAGAGAAATACGGACGAAATGGCATGGTACTTGTTTTTTAATTTTATTTATTTATTTAATAATATTATAACCAGTCTCAATAGTTTTAACTCATCTTTCGTTCATTGACTACCAGTAAGATAGTATTTTAATTAAGATAAACTATATAACAACTTATTTATTAAGAAAAAAATGCAACATATTTCAAAAACAATTTTATCCATATAGTAAGGATATAATGAGACGCTAATTTTTAAGAAAGCAGTTCACAAATAAATTGTTTCGTCTTCTTTGGGACATTAGCACATGAAGCATGAACCCAAAAGGTATAGGTCATCGTAAAAAGAGAGTTTTGTAACAAAAGCAAGTCTCTCCTTTTTGCCGGTAGAAGTTTTTGTCTGTTTTTAGCTATTATTTCTTGCATACATAGAATAGAAGTTACAAAAAATTGTATTGGCCCTGTAATGCTTTTAAAATAGAAGTGTCATTCTATCCATTGTATAATTTTGTCATTTTGTCCGATATTGAACAAAAATTAATAATTAATCAAAATTCCACCAAATACCTGATTTTTGCAATAACATTGATAGTTATTACTAGTACTGGCATAAGTTAATTCATTTCAATAGAAATAATTACTAATATCAATAAATAGGTAAATAATAATATACTATATTAATTTTACTATAATTTAACTTACTATATTATTTTACGAAAATATACTAAATGTATCAGTAACACAATAGTTTTGTACTTTATTTGAATTATGAAAGTTAAATTAACACCCTCAAAATAAACTTTTCAAGGTGCAAAACACGTTTGAACTGATTACTGGGACAAGACTATGACAATGACGCTCAACATCTGACATGATTTTAGTTGTTGCTTTCTTCGCGTTCTACAGTCTCGGAAATTTTAATAAAACTAGCCAATATTTTAAAAAAGGCCACTGTGTCATTTTGCCCATATATACCATTTTGTCCGTATTTTCACTACATATATTTTGAAAAAAAAACAATAACAAAAAAGCTATGATTGAATATAAGTAACAATATAGGTAAAATATTGTTTAAAAATGATTAAATGTGATATTTCCATTACGACTTATAAATTTAAAGAATTGTTACATTTTATAAAAAAATATAAGATTTAAATCAAAATTATTGTAACTTGCCCTAGAAGAAGTTAATAAGTATTCTAGATAAAAAAAATCAAAATAACATCGGTTATTGGAAAGTTTATAAGTAATTCATACATTAATACACATTGCATAACATAAGAAAAAATTCAAAGACGATATCTTGAATTAGTGAATATAATTGAGGTAAATATATTTGAATTTTTTGGTCTATTTTTATTTTTTTATTTATACTTTATACTTTGAGGCAGTAGACATAAAATATAAGGTTTTTTGACATCCATTGAATAATCTTTGAATCATGTGTTAAAGATCCCAAAAATTTAAAATACTGAATTTCCAAATAAATAAAGAAATAAAGTGAAATGTATTAAATAAAATCAAGTGTAAATTATAATTACATTAAAATATCATAATCAATTACTAAGTGCAAAGTAACTAATGATTGAAAAGTGCAAAGTTTTAAATAGCAATAAAACACGAACGCATATTAACAATACATAAAGCGAAATGTGAGAAAGAAATTTAATGATTGTCATGACAGTGAAAAGACATGATAATTAAAAATGAAATTACTGCATAGCGAAGATTAACAATAAGAAATGAAAACAAATCATTGCAAATTCTATTTCCACTCATAATTAAGAATAAATTATAAATTAAAAGCGCTAAATAATTATAACAGAAATTTATATCATGAGACATTTGTAATAATGTCTTTATTCATGCAGGGTGGGCCACTTAAAGAAAAAACTAGCTGTAAGTGGATTTCTGTCTTAAGGGGGTTGTTCTTTTTTTTGGTACAAAACATGCAAGGTATTTGTTTTTGTTTTTCTCGAAATGTATTTATCATAAAGACATGCGGTTTCTTTTAAACAAAAATTACAAAATCATAGGATATTAAGAAATTTTTTATTTATTTTTTTTTGCCGTCATTTTTTAACCAGGGGACGCCAAAGTGGGCATTGCAAAATCGATCTCGTTTGCGGTGCCACAGATAAATCCGTTGCGCATCGCCTGAAACAAAAAAAAACGAAACTACGTTGAAGAAGAAGTTTGAATCCAGTCCCCCTACCAAAATGAAAGAAAAAGAGCAAGAAGGAAAAAAATGGCAGCTATTTTTAAAAAAAAGTGTCAAAAAAGGCCTTTTTTTGGGACGAGAAGATTCGCAATTTTTTTTTGCGTAATGTTATCAAGTTGTTTGAGGTAGGGGGACTAGGTATTGCAGTGGTGAACAAATTAAAAAAAATTCAAGTCGATCCGACTTGTAGTTTTTTTTTAATTTGTGGCACCGCATTGAAAAAATTCAATTTGAGAAAAACGTATTTAAAGTTTTTAATATAATGTACTAAATACACCATTTAATTTAATGTACGAAATACACCATGGTGTTCAAAGATGCTGAAACATTAAAAAGGTCATGTGCATGAGATATTATAATGAAAAAGAGGCAACTGGCATACAATAGCTCGCGGAACGATAAAAAAACGCTTTCAGAGGATCATACGTATAGAGATATATATATCTATAACTTCGTCAAAAATATAGATATTGAGATGATTTTTTTTTTTAAATAATTCTAAGGTTTTTAGCTTTCATAATATCAAAAAATCTCAAAACCGAAACAAAGAAAAATAAAAAAAGAACAACCCCCTTAAGACAATTAAGTGCCTTAAAGCAAATTGCTGGAACTTCCCGTACCAGATTTTTTTTTTTTAAAAAAACGATTAACATTTTTGAAAAAAATTTACTTCAAAAAAATAAGATTTTTGAGAAACTATAAATTGGACCAAAAATTACTTTTTTTTGAAAAAAAAAAATTAATTTTTTTTTTTGAAAAAAAATGTTTTCTTTAATGTTATGTTACTTTTTTTCAAAGCAATCGTACTGCTTTAACTGCATAAAGACGAAATATCAAAGCGCGTAAGCGCCGCGTCGCCGTCTAATGCGTAAACATTGGTACGGAACCCATAGGACTGTAAACCAAATTCATACTTATTGTTAAAATCTCTATAAAATATCTGATAATTTGATGTGTATAAGTCTAATGATCATTTTTGACCGCCAAATGGCATTTTTTTTTACTTTTTTCATTAGATCTTTGAAACCACTAGACCTGCCTTTATGAAAATTTGATCGGTTCTTCACCTTGTCAATATAAGTAAAATGTTTTTTGAATTATTAAAATCGGACGCTCCGTTCTCTTAAAAACTGAGTTACCGTTTTCGGCACTTTTTGCCCCGTATCTTCGGAACGGCTAGACCTCCCTGCGCCAAAAACTAATCAGCACGTCTCCTCATCAATACGAATCGAATGTTTTTTGAATTATTCGAATTGGTTGATCCGTGTTCCCGAAATCGTCGACGAAAATTTGTATCCGCACATACATACACACACACACATACATCCATTTTTTCTAAGGTATGCCAAAATGTTAAGAAACCTTTGAAACGTAAAGATATATAAAAATTTTCATTTTCGATTTTTTTGCGATTACTATAACTTGCCCTACGGGAAGTTAACTAGTGGTGCATGTCATATCAATAAATAATCATCAATAAAACTTTATCAATGAGTAATAACAATTGTTATAGATATTTTGAAATAGTTATTATAAATATGTATAAATAAATAAATTTTGCCGTTATATTTTGTATATTTACAAACACGAAAACAAAATAAACTAGCTGTAAGTGGAATTCTGTCTTAAGGCAATTAAGGCATCGTGCCTTAAGGCAAATTGCTGGAACTTC